GACTTTTTTTTTTTTTCACCATGAAAAGTTTTAAAGGACCTGTTTGTTGTCTCAGGTAGACCATCCAGATAGAAGGAAATGCAAACCATCCCAGACCAAAAAAAAAAAAAAAACCACAGTGAACCAGTAAGATGATGTTCACAAACCAGGAAGGCTTCCTAACAACGCTCAGAGGGCAAAGGACACCAAGGGCAGAACTGCAGACTGGACTGGGCTCTGCCAACCACAGCTATGGCTGCAAATCAGGAGGAAGACCACAGCAACTCTTAAGACACTGCGGGAAATGCCTCCCCCTCCCTTCATCTCCCTCCTTTGCCTCCCCCCTTCTGGCTCTTTCTCTCCAGTAGACACTGCATCGATTTCAAAAGGACTTCAGTCACTCCTAGATCACAGCCATCCCACTTGGAAACTGCGCTGCTGTAGAAAAGGCCCACCAGGCAGATACAGCATTGACAGAGTAAAGGGATGACTTATTTGTGAACCTCACAGCTGGATAAATGCAACAGCCTCCCAGTTGTATTTTCTCTCTTTGGTCAACAAATATCTAAAAGCTTCCCAACACAGCAGGGCTTATTTCAGGTGCTGGATACTAAGATTGAGGGCAACTTGTCCCTGCTCTCATGAAGCCTGCAACTTTGGAAACTAGATGTATGCGCACAGGCGTGCATGCTATGGCTATAGGCTGACAACACTGTCACCTTCCTCCAGTGTTAAGAACCTGGGCTCTGTCTTACACCCCCTTGCCTGATGCTCTGCTCGATAATTTGCCAAACAGCTCCATTCCTCCACAGCTGACCGTCCTCTGCCAACTCTGTTGGACTCCACATGTCAACAGACTCCCAGCTATATGCGTGCCAGGGTCTCTCCATTTACCTCTCCCAGACTCTCTATCACATCTCTCTGCCCTGCTTACCTACTTGGGTATTAATTCCTCTTGCTGTCTTCCCCTGACACCACCCTCTCCAGACGTCAGTGCTCTGAGATCTGAGGTCTCCAAACTTCTTAAGTGGAAGGAGGAAACCAAGTTCATATTCAGGAGAGTGTGTGGAGGGCTGGAAATCAGTGGCCTTTTAAAGGCTGAGGTCATTGAAGGGCCCATCCTCATGGTCAAGCAGTCAACTGGATGCCCACTCTCTTTCTAGACAGTTTGAGAAGCAGAGAAAATGTTTTGTGTTTTTGCTTCAGTAGTTATAGACTCCACTTCCTTTTACTTCTGTCCACAATTTATTAGGTTCTAGCTTTTAAATAAAAAACTTTCAGTCATGTTTTGGCTAATTAGCTCTTCATTTTAACTTCTTGTTCCTAATTTGCTCTAATCTGACAGTGTGGCCTGAGGCCTCTGCGGAGGGCTGACATTATCTATTAGTGAGTATTTAAGTGGTTATCAGTGGGAGAAACAGACAGAAAGAGACGCTGATAAAGACATTTCATCCCTAAAAGATATCCCTGTAACCCCACTGCACCGAGGGTAGAGGCAGGAGGCACACCTGTTCTCTGGGGCTGGAGACTCTTCCGACAAGCATCTGAGGGAGCGGGCCGCTGGCACACAGGAGTAGAGGCCAGGGACACTGCTAAACATTGCACGGCGCACAGGCCAACCCCACAAGAAAAAAAAGACATAGACCCAAATGTCAGCAGTGCTGAGGCTGAGACACTCTGGACCACAGCATCTTCAAAACGCCAAGAAACATTACTTAACTACTTCCCGCTTGCGCCAAGGTTTATCTCAATTCTCTGAACTGTCAGTAACACCCCAAAAGGCTCGGCCGGCTCTAATGGCTGAACTTCTGCTTGTGGCCTTTTGCCCAACCCCACCTTAAAGTTCAAAGTGATTGCTCACTAAACACACCATCGGCTGGTTACCCTGAACCACATGTGCATGTCTCTGGCTGGCCCACATGACCAGTAGCCGTTCCACATTATGCACACATGAAACCTGTTTGGGAGCTGCTGCCAAAACCTGTGATGCTGGTTGTGCTGAGAGACAGGGACATAGCAGGAAGACAAGTAAAAGTAAAAATTTTATGTGGCATGAAATTCCACTAGGCTTATGATGCCTTAACAATTTTATTAATAAGAGAGAACACAAATGAACAAATTCTACCTTAAATGTGACAAAAGCCAGCTTCTTCTAGGAGTCTTTGTCTCTCCCTTCTTTCCATTATTAGGGGCTATAAGGAATGAAGGAAGAAGACAGGAAGGAGCCTGGAAATTGCATGGCACCAGCTCAGCATAAGAGTTGAACCTGAAAATCTCTCAAGTGGTCTATGAAAATGAAAAGAGAGAACCAGGACCTGTCAAAATGGATCAGACTTTCTCTTTTCCTTTTCTTTAGCTTGAATTGCAAGACAATGGCAATTACTGGGTGGGGTCAGGTTAAAGGCAAAGGTGGATGCAGTACAGGGAGACTGTCTTATGGAAAACCTTCCCCAACACACACACACACACACACACACACACACACACACACACTGTCTGACTCTTCTGACTTCTGATGCTAATGCTTTCACCTTTTCTCATTTGACCAAAAAGCAGAATTTGAAATGCACTCTGGGCATGTGAGTCTTGTGGGGCCATAATGAATGTAGGCCAGAGTGCCACTTCTGCCTGTTAGGAGGCAGCCAGAGCTGGTTCTGAGCTTAAGAGAGATTGTTAAGCAGCTGAGCTGAGCTAGAAAAATAAATTTATGAGAAATGAATAAGAGAAAGAAAATGTTCTAAGTGAACGGCAGAAGGAAAATTGGGTGTGGTCTGTCATTTATGAGCAAAATACTAACTTATGAATTGTTTGTGATTTCACAAGTTCATCTGACTACTAGAAGCAACAACAGCACAGTAGAGAAGGAAAATAAAAGTCATTCATTGATTTCTGGGTAGGATCTTTGCAAATTTTCAGGAGAAAAATTTAAAAAAAAAAAAACAGTTCAGAAAAGTTGATCACCTTGCCCAATGTCACCCGGAGATTCGGGATCAGAGGTTGGTCTTGGGATGTCCCCAGGCAGTCCAGTAACCATGCTGTGCTGTCTACACAAGTAAGAAAGGTGCAGAGCAGAGGAGGAGCTGCCCAGATGACTGGGAGGTCAGAGCGAAAAGGGCACGTCAAGGCAGGAGGGAAGGGACACTCCAGAAGCAAGGGGCAGGGAGGGTGCTGTCTGGTCTGGGTGTCATCCTACCCACGAGCGACAAGTTGGGAGTACTCTGAGGGGGCATTTCCTACACATGGGGCTCTGGTAACTGCTGCGGCCCAGAAGACTTCAACAAGGAGGGAAATGACTAAGATGGAGTCTGCAAGTTCTTTTCAAAATGTCAGCATTCCTTAGACTCACACGACTGTTTTCTCGGCCCTCTGGAATTTGTTAATTTATTCAACAAATATTTACTGAGCACCTGTTTTGTGCCAGGCACTGTTCCTGGCCATATGAATAAAAAAGACCCTTAAAAGACAGGCCCTTTTCCTCTGGAGGGTGTTCTAGTGAGATATAGAAAAATAAACAAATAAATATGAGAGTGTCTAATCACGTTAAGTGCTATGAAGAAAACTGCACAGGGTAATATGAGAGTGACTGGAGGATCTCCTTTTGGTCGTTAGGAAAACCTCTTTAAGGAGGCGGTATTTGAGCTGAGACCTCGAAGAGAAGAGCTGGTGACAGAGTGAGACAGCTGGTTAGAGAGCACAGCCCATGCAAAGGCTCAAGGACAAGGTCAAGTGATCATGAGACCAAGGGTGGCAGGTTCAAGGAAACACAGAAAGTCTGTGTGGCTGTGACTCCAGGAAGAAGGAGGAGCAGATGAAATGAGGTCATCAGTGTGAGCTCAGCCAAACCAGAGTGATGCATCTGTCCATTTAACAATTATCAAGCATCCACTACGTGCAGGGCATTGCTGAGGATATAAAAAAGAAAGGTGAAATTCCTGGTTCAAGGGTTCTGTCTGCAGGGAAGAAGTCAGGAGTTTAGCAGGGGTGCAGAATACTTACACAATTGTGTTAGAGAGTATTCCACTCCAGGCAGAACCACGATGCGGACATTACCATGGTGCTTAGCAGGGGAAGGGGCTTTCCAGAAGCACTTGAATCAACACACCCATGCACCTACTCGAGCCAGTTTATAATGTGAAGAAGGGAAGGCACTAGCCGTCCAAAGTCACGGTATGAGGTCTCAGATCCGGACATCTGCTCCGCTGGGGTCGGGAGGTGAGGTCATCCCAGAGATGAGTCACCGAGCCCACCTTTCGCCACCGGGTGAGCCTTCTCGGTCTTCGTGGGTGGGGCAGGGCCGTAGGAATCCCCCCACCCGGCCTAAATCCGGCGCACTCAGAAAACCCAGACAGGGGAGCTGCCAAGACCAAGGCTCTGATTAGCACCTGATTCACCCAAGCAGTCAAGGCAGGGCGGTGACTGCTGGTAACAGGCCCCCGGTCTCCCCGGGGAAAGGCCTGCGGGAGTTTTGGTGACCGTGATCCCAGGGGAGCCTCCGTGACACGCTCCACCGGGTAGGGGCGCGCCTGCGTGACCACCGGCCCCGCCCAGACTCGGAACGCGCACGGCTGCGGCTGGGGCGCGCGTGCGCCCTGGCCCGGGCCTCCGAGGAGCCCCAGTCCCCTGGCCGGCCGCCCGGGAGCCGTAATTCCGGAGGCCACAAGACCCCAGGAGTCTTGTCCCTGTATCCGCCCCCCACCGCCGCCACTAGACAAATCCCTTTGCCCTGGCCCAGCCTCCAAGGAGTCGTGTTCACAAGTCCGGGGGACCGGCGTGACAGGCGCCCAGCTCACTGGGGGGCGGGGGGGGGGGACGTCGCGAACCCCTTCCCACAGGGGCGCCGGCGCCTCTGCCTGGCGGCCGGGAAGCCCAGGGGCGGAGGGCAGGCAGGAGCGGAGCGGTTTGACCGGCCGGGCGGCCGCGGGCCCCGCCGTTGGTCCGCGGGAGCGCGCTCCTCCCCGCCCGCCCCACATGCCCTGACTGCGCCTGCCGCCGCGCCCCGGGCGCCAGACCGCGCGGCCGCCATGGGGAATGGGATGAACAAGGTAACGTGCCCCCGCGCCTCCCTCTGCTTCCACCCCAAGCCTCCCTGCGCGGGGCTTTTGCGGCGAGGGGCGCCCTACGCGCCTGGGCCCGGAGGGCGGGGGCCGCGTGCCTGCGCCGAGAGGCAGGGCCGCGCTTCCGCCCGGGCGGCGCTCGACCTGTGCGCGGGGCTGAGCCGGGAGGGCTGCGGTTTCTCCCTTCTCCCCCCCACCCTCCTCTCCCCCCGCCCCGCTTCACCCCCAACTCAGCTCTTGAAGCATCACCGCCCACATCATTACTAAACAGGAGGAGATAAGTGTCTCCTCTTCCGTAATGTCTTCTTCCCAGATTTTTTACCGTGTGCGAATAACTTTTTCTTATGGACAGAAAAGTTGACAGAGGCCTAAATCCTGGGGTGCTTGTAACTGCCCCGGTGTGGGTTACAGATTCGGAGCTGCTTTATCGAGGTCGTGCGGCTGCTCGCCGCCTCTGCTCAGCCTTGCCCCGCCGCCCTCCCTGCCCAAACCCCTCCCTGCTGTGCCTTTCTGCGGGGAAGGGGATCGGACTCCAGCTGCCTGGGGCAAACACTGCGAAGGATTTTGTGATCTGGTACTGCACGGCTTAAAGAAAAGAATACAGAACTTTTTTTAAACTGCCCTCATGGAAAACAGTGTCTGTTCTCGGGGCTTTGAAGTCGTCCTGGACCAGAGGGTGGACTCTGTCCTCTTCTCCCCGCGCACCCCACTCACCCAGGGTCCGTGCAGGTTCAGCTGTCCTGCTGCGTGTGTCCACGCCGGCTCACGGGCCCTGGGTCCCTTCAGTGTCCGCGGCCGAGGCAGGCAGTGAGGCTGCAGGGAGTATCCCGTGTACCTGCGTCACTGCCCACCTGCCACGTTCACCGTGTCTTTGAGACTTAGTTTGTAAAGGGGTGAGTGTGGGGTTTAGGCCCGCATACCCGAGGTTTTTGTTAACCAGGGTCATATTCCTTGCGAGGGCTTTTTGGGGGGAAGGCGGGTGACAGTAATCAAGTTTGGAAAGAGACTGTTTCTTTCTTGGGTAAATACTTGCATTATGTCTCCATTAGCACTAGAATCCATCTGCACCACGAACTTTTTTTTTTTAAGTGAAGGCGGAACCTTGAAGGGTCTTCTGCGAGGAGGTGGGCTCTGTTTGCCTTCCCATTAGTTGTGGTTATGCCTCAGGTTTATTTTGGTGTTTTTCCTAGTTTTCTCCACTTGAGGTGTTCACTCGCCACCTTTTTCAGCATTTAATTTGTAGTATTTTTCTATTAAAACTGAAAGAACATACTTAGGGATACAGATCATTGCCTAAGTGTTCAAAATTATTTTCAGATTTTTAGCCAAAGCTGTCATATTCATACATGATTTTTACCTTTCAACGAAAGCGGTATGTTTCTTATTAATGTTATTATCATAATCATCTTGTACTGTAAGTAGAACCAGTATCTCCAAGGTAGAGATGGGGAAACATGGGTAGAGATTTAGAGACACCATTAAATCAGTGAGTTTTTATTGCATGCTTACTGTTAGCCAGGTGCTAGTTGGGGGGGCCAAGGGAGGGTGCAGTGGTAAATGACACAGACAGGTCTTTCATGAAACCTTCAGTAGAGACCAGCAGTTGCCCAATAGAAACATAATGTGAGCTATATGTGTAATTTAGAATTTTCCAGTAGCCACATTAGAAAAGTAAAAATAATTTTAATAATATATCTTATTTAACTGGAATATATTGTGAATATTGTCATTTCAACATTTAACTAATAGATAAAATCACTGTTTTGTATATATATATTTTGTACTAAGTCTTCAAAGTCCGGTGTATGGTTGATACTTAAATGACATCTCATTTGGGATTAGCCACATTTTAAGTACTCAGAGTCACTGTGGCTAATGGCTACTGTATTGCATAACAGCGTGTGTGTGTGTGTGTGTGTGTGTGTGCACGCGCGCCTGTGCATGTGTGTGTGATTTGAGAGAGAGAACAAACACACGGTCAGGAGGAGTGGAGGCCCCAGAGGATAGAGAATCAGAAGTAGATGTGATGAGCACAGCCTGGAAGCAGTGTTCAGTGCAGGCTGAGGCTCACGTGGAGTCAAGACGTTTAAGCTGAGTTCTGAAGAACTGCTCAAAGTTGCAAGATTGTTTAGTGGCAAAGTAGATTGCTGGAAGCCAGAAATTAAAAACCTTAACTAGAACTTGTTCATGTATTATTGTGTGACTTGGAACTAGGCTTCATTTCTTCTGTAAGAAAAAGAATGGTTGATTTGCAGATCTAGTGGAAGTAGTGTAAGGTGCTAGTCATAGAAATGCCTTCCTAAGAACATTTATAGATTAAAAACGCAGTGCCCTTGGAACTGAAAATTTAATTTGCAACGTGTGTGTGTGGGTCCTGAGGTGCCTGGCACAAGATTTATTTCCCATCTCACAAAAATCGGTCATCCTTGGCCAAAGAGAACTTATGAACCAAACAATGCAGATTCTGTTCTCACTGTTTTGAATACAGCAGTTTTTATTTCTGATCCATGTTCTGTGGAGGGTCTTCTTATCAACACGTGCCAGTCTCCTATGTGGCAGAATACTGTGCCCATGTCAGCTAGGTGTACATAGCATTCTACACAGCTCTAGAGGGGAAGGGGAAGAGGTGTTTGCATTCTGGGCAATTAAAGATGATGAGGAGACAGAAAAGAGTACAGCAGTTGTTGACTTTTTTTTTGAGTCTCATATGATGTGCCTGCAGTTTATCACTGTAGCCCTAGGAGGTCAGTCTGCCTTATCTGACTATCTGTGCAGATTGGGAAATGGACACTCAGATTAAGTGGCATGACTAAGGTCCTAAAGCTGGGAGGTGGCGGAACTGGTTTTGAACCCAGCTGCCACTGATTTTGATGATTGTAGAAGTCTTTGCTTTAAACTAGAACACCAGTTTATTCCAAGTGATTTCTAAAGACGCTGGAAAGTAACCTGAAAAGAGCTCCCCAGAGTCCCAAATTAGTTGTAAAATAGGAAAAAGCCATCTCCTGTCTTCCTTCATGTTTGATATTGATAAAGAGGAGAGGGGAAGGTCAGGCAACTAAGACTGGCCAAGGTGTGTGCCAAGTCCTGTTTTGAACTTCACCATGTAGGATAACTCATCGAACCCCCAGACCGCCATTCCATCCCTCGGCGTTTACAAGTGCCCAGGCCAGAGCCACCCACTGGGTGAGTGCCCGAGCCTGGACTCGAGGCCCAGTGGCCTGGCTCTTTTCTTCATAGTGACTGCCTAGCTGTGCTGCTCAAGGCCAGTCTGACAGGTACCTCAAGTAGGATCAGGTCAAACTCAACAGGTTGCTGCAAGCAAATGTGTTTCTGTGGAACCTCTGAGAATTCCTAGTTGAGTCCAAGCTCTCCAGGGTCTGACCACAACATCTTTTGGGGAAGGACCTGTAAAGAAAAGTCCTCATTCTCATCTTATTAGTCTTAAGTATGATAATAACTGATTAAAAACAACAATCATATCTGGCTAAGCATCATACTAGAGAAATGTGCACGTTTTTATCTTGTCAGCCAGAACCAATGACCTAACAGTGGGCTGGAGCATTGCCATCCCGGGGCGGCTTGTGAGGACCAGGTTTGGCTCAGTTCATCAGTCCTGTTCAGGGACCTCTTTCTTCCTCACTGCCCTGTTTTCCCTGAAAGCAGCCTACCTGGTAGAAGTGATGCTACCCTAGTCTTTCATGGGAGACTTGCTCTTGGCAGTGGGAGGCAGATCCTTCCCTGAGTGCATTGCCTTGCTGTGAGAAGTGCACTGTTGTGAAAGAAAGGGGCAGAGCTGTCAGAAAGCCTGATTTGGGGTGTCCACCACTCTGCTGTTGCATGGATGTGTTCTTGAACGAGTCACTCAGTGTTCCTAAGCAGCAGTTTCTTTATTGCCCTTGATTCGTAGGGATGGTGGTTTGCTCTGCTAGTAAGTTATTTGTTCTAAAATGACTACAATGTTACCTTCCCCAATTACTACCCAGATTCTTGGAGAAACAGATGAGAATGTACTAGAAGACATTTTCACAAACTGCAACGTACAGATTATTGTTGTTGTTTTAGTTGCTAAGTCATGTCCTACTCTTCGTGACCCCGTGGACTGTAGCCCACCAGGTTCCTCTGTCCATGGGATTTCCCAGGCAAGAATACTGGAATGGGTTGCCATCTCCTGGGAGCAGTCATCTCAAATGAGATCTGAGTGACAGGCAGCCATCCTGGTAGACGATGGGGCGTCCACACCCTCAGGAGAGGAAAGGACTTACTCCTTTAGCGCCTGGGACGTTCTCACATGGCACATACAGACTTGCTTTGATCTGTCCTTACTTCTCGCCATGGGGTGATGACTTCACTCCCCCTGTGTTCTCTATTCTGGCTCGAGTCCAAACTCTCCATGAAGTCACTGATCAGCCACTTTGTCCTCATGAGCCAGGAGGAGCCTGAACCTGATGGGACATTGTTTCATTCCATTTTCTCTTCCTTTTTCCTTAGTCATGACCAGCAGCAATTATATTGGGGAAATCTACCAGTCATATTTAGAGTTTTAAGTTTGAGTTGAGGTTGATTGATGTAGACATTTAAATATTTATGGGCTTTTTATTCTCCTTGAAAACAAAAATGTAGTTTCTCTCCCTGTCAATGGCCAGTTCTCCAGCTTTCCTGGATCTTGTTTTATAACTCTATATGGAAGAAACTACAGAAATTGGGATTGAGCAATTGGCTCAGATGTTAAAGAATCTGCCTGCAATGCAGGAGACCTGGACTTGATCCATGGGTTGGGAAGATCCCCTGGAGGAGGGCATGGCAACCCAGTCCAATATTCTTGCCTGGAGAATCCCCATGGACAGAGGAGACTGGCAGGCTATAGCCCATGGGGGTCACAAAGAGTCAGACACAACTGAGCAACTTAGCATGCAGTTTGCTTTCTGTTTCTAGCCCTTGAAACTGTAATTTATTCTTCCGGTCTGGAAAATGGAGTTGAAAGTTTACTCACACAACTCTGTCCTCTCTTTACAATTAAAATATTTAAGTGCATATAAAATGTGCAGCTTGCCTGGTTTTGGGTGAGTTGCCTCCCTGATGTTGGTGAGGTCAGACCTCTCCCCTTGCCGGCGCTTGGCTCTGGGGTCTCTTCTGGGCGCTGATCTCCTTCAACTGCCCCCCCCCACCCGCCTGCCAGCGCAGTTGGCACAGTGTTGCTGGCCTCGACCTTCCCAGAGCAGAAAGGGGCAAAGCGGGATCTCTCAGGCCTCACCAACAGTGGTTTTCCATCTCTCTCTTCTTTGCCTGGCCCCTCCCACCTGGCTCATGTTGTTCATTCATTCATTGAAGAGACATTTGCCTAAGTAGTGATCTGCCGATCATGCGGCAACCACTCAGGTTTAGAGAAACACACTAACAGATATGATGCAGGCAGCGTATAGGGGTGATAGTCACTTATCACAATATTTAAGGTTTTTAAAAATATACAGTTGACTGTATTCGAAGATGGAGATGTTTCCCATGAAACCTAGATGCTGGACCTGGGGAGCCTGACTTGTGTCTCTGCATCATCACCTCGGCGGGTGTGGGGCGGAGGCTAAAGGCATCAAAACCTCCATCCCTGAAGGACAGCTCTTGTTGAGGTACCAAATTTCCCAGAGCTATCTGGAGCCCTGGGAAGAGTTTAATCTGGAGTCCCACTGTCAACTTGGCACCTTGAAGGCAGGTTCAGGAACCCTTTGGGGGACAGATCCAGAGGTAGGGGGTTCTCTTAAGAAGCTGTGTCAGTAGATCAGATGGGAGCTGGACAAAGGCCTGCACCGTGGTTTCCAGAGGAGCAGACTGGTTGGGATTCCAGGGAGGCGTGGAAGCCAGTGCTGACCGAGGTGGGAGTGACGCCCGGAGGAGAGCGGACTCTCCTGGTGGTCCCTGCAGCGCCGGGGGGCTGCTCTCCCACGTGGCAGGGCTTTGCTGCCCTGTGACTTGCTTAAAGATTTGTGAAGTTTATTTACATTTGTGCATTTTTCTCGGTTGAAAGGCCTACATCAGGAGGCCTAGTTGTAAGCAACGGAATCCAAATGTGTCTGCTTGAGGTGGAACAGGGCGGAAGGCCGGGAGGGCTGGAGAACCAGATTCAGGCAACTCTGCCCGGACCAGATCCCAAGACTGGTCTGGGGAGAGCATTTCTGCAGCTGCCCCACGGCGCTGCCGCTGCTGCCACTGCCAGTGGGCTCTGCGGGTTCCGCCAGCCCTGGGCCCCCGCTACCAGGCAGGGTGCTGGCGGGTGCTCTGCTGTCTCTGTTCCAGCCCGGAGCAGCTGTGGAGGCCTGCCGTTGCTGTAGCAGAGAGCTGGTGGGCTGGGGGCTGGTGCTGCCTACCAGGCTCCAAAGTGGGGGCTTCCAAGTCTTGGAAACCAGTAAACAGCTGTCAGTTGCAGGGTTTGAAACTCTCGAGCAGACCCATGAGATGAAGGGCCCCAAGCAGCGAGGGTCTCTTCCCTCTCTAGTGAGAATACTGGGAGCAGAGCAGGCGATATTCTGAGGTGGAACTGGTCAGGGACCCTGGGAAAATAGGGCCGTCTGGCTTGATGGAGGCTGAAGCAAAGCGGGGCCCTTCAGAGGCCGGAGGCCGTGAGGGAAGTTTCCGTTTTGGCCTCCATTTTCTTTGGAAAGGGTTTGCCATCGAACATTTTGATCTAGAAGAGGACCCAACGAGAATGTGACTTGCAGAGATTAATTTGATGAAATAAATAAGTTCAGTGGCTACTTCTGCAGCCTATGAGGCTCCAGACTGGGGTCCTTGGCCCCACAGCCAAGGGCCAAGGGCTGCGACGGGGCTGGGGGTAGTGGAGTACAAGGGGCTGAGCATCGGGAGGAGAGCTCCGAGGGGTTCGTTCAGGAGCCATAGAGCCGTGGCTTGAGGGCAGTAGAGCCCAGAGGTGAGTTATTCACACACCCCTGTTTCTTCTATTTAAAGATAATATGAAACATATTTGCTTTTGTTTAGTAGAGAAGATGGTAGCAGTACAAAGAAGAGAAGGAAAAATGGGTCATAAAATCTTTTCCCCAAATAGCCCACTTGAATTTCTGAAGAAACTAAATGGAAGTAATGTGTGTGCACTCTATGGAAACATGTTCTTCCCGACCTCCAGACCCCAGCGCCCCATCAGGGTGAGCACCAAGAAAGGCACTCCTTCATACTCATTTTGATGTTTCTGAGAATCAGTAAATACAAATACTTCCTTCTAACAGCCCCACACACCTAGCATCTCAGTGGCATTTGACCTGGAGCCCTGGACACCTGTAGGGCTTCCCGTCTCTGCACCCTCCATGTCACCTCCTCCACACCTGCTCCCAGGAGAGACCCATCTCTCGCAGGGCTGGCCATCTCCACCATTCCCCTGCCCATCCTCCTGTCTCCCGGCCCACTCCTCTGGGCCCCAGAGTGGTCACGGTGCCTCCTCCTTTCTGGGCGAGGGGCTCAGCAAGGAAGGGGACATTGGCAGGGCCATGTCTCTTGGTCACACTGCATCCCCAGTGCCCAGAGGATGTCCATGTGTGACCAGAGCTCAGTAAACCGTCCATCTACTGGAGCCCTTCTGCTACTCTGGAGAGGCAGACCCGCTCTGTGACCATGGTGCAGTCTGTCATAACTGTCAGCTGTGTGAATGGGAGACTTTCGTGGTCAATGTTATGAAAGAAAAATAATTTCAACACATTAAAAATGACAGTGAAGATTTTATTCAAGACATTACAAGTGAGAGATGGAGTTCCACTCCCAGGACAACGGGGGCAGGTGAGTGGATGGAAAATCACTGACGGAACTTGGTTAGATGCCAAGGGTGGAGGAAGAGGAGCTTGGCTGATACTAAGAGCGGGTGGATGCTTGACAACTGGCTTAGCAGGATTCTTTTAAGTGTGGCCAAGGACCAGGCCTGCAGAGGAGACTCAGAGGAGCCTGAGCCACGCTGTCAGGGAGGCTGTCTTTGTCGCCATCAGGGAAAAGAACTGCGCTGGTTTTGCCCTCAGATGTCTCAGGACAGACCCTGGGGGGCTGGAGACGGTAATGACAAAGCCCTGCACAGGGAAGAGCTGCCAGGGAATGCAGTTTGAGCCATCTCCTGGATGAGCTTGCGTTGTTCTTCCATTTTAGAACAGGAATCATGAACTATCTGTTCTAGTCCACCCTTGCTCCCAGGAGAATTCCACAGACTGTTTCAGGAGAGACATTTTGAGTGTTTGATCTCCTTGGCAATGGATGCCAGGGTTTCCTCTGAGATACAGTTTTGTATTTCCCGGCTCCTGGGCGAACCCTACCTGCCTCAGTCTGTGACTTCAGGCGGCAACAGACCCAGGCCCTCAGTCCCCTAGGGTACTTTCCAAGCCAGTTTTGGCTCTTAGGGTGTTGAGTCAGCCAGAGTGACCACAGGGCCCGGTGCCCACGTCCCTTCTAGGTTTTGCCTCTTGTTCTAGAGTGATTATTAACAGAATCTCTTTTCACTCATGAGTGTCCCATCTTGGTCAATTAGTCCCATGGTTCCCAGCACAGATGCTGAGCCTGCGTCCTGGTAGGTCCCTGCAGTCACTTTTTAGCAGGCAGCTGGTTGTCAGGAAGATGCTCAAAAGAACACACCCCTGGAGGACTTTACTGCCCTTGCTTTCGGCTTTCTTACCAGGAGTGGAGAGAAGAGGGAGCGCAAAGCAGACGGGCCGAGAGGAGTATTTGGTGGTGGCTGATGGGGGTGTCGCCAGGGCATGGGGCTTGCAGTGAGTTGTCACCGTGGCCAGCGTGCTGTGTGCACTTGGAAACCACATCAGCGGTGTAGCTTCCCAGGTGTCCGCGTTTGGATTTCAGAGTCTCCATACAGAGTACCGCAGGGCAGAGGTTGGCTTCATGTTCTGCTAAGCAGGGGGTACCTGTGACCTGAAGTCACCCAGTCTCATCTCAGATCTGCTGAGTCTCCTTGTGGGGCCTGGGGCTTTCCAGAAACCTGATTCTGGCTTGAGAACGTTAGAAGAAGTAGACGTTTTGGAGTAAATGTGTGTTCTTCTTAACTTGCATGTTTAGGCAGTTCATTCACTCATTTAGCAACTCTCTACTGAATGGTCTTCGTGGGCCAATCCCTGGGCTGGGCGCTGGGTCTGCAGCCCAGCAGCGGGGACTGCCCTCCACCTGGTGATGCATCATATGAGGGGAGCACAGAGGATGGGGGCACTAAGCAGGAGCCCCCCAGACATGGGGGTAGGGCTCAGGGCAGGCCTGAAGGATGGGGAGCAGGAGGGGAGGGACAGCAGGTGCTGGAGCCCGGAGAGGAGGGACTGGGGGACAGGAGGCAGGACGGGAGGAGGGGCTGTGGAGACTCTGATTTGGGGCTGGACTCAGAATGTGGTGAGCACTGTGAGGCCTGGAGACAAGGAAACCTTTTGGTCTGTCTGGGAAAGTGCTGGGAGGCGGATGTGGCGGGCACAGGCCTCTGTGTCGAATGCCATCAGACTGAAATCTGTAACACTCCTGTCTGGTCTGTCTCCCCATAGATCCTGCCTGGCCTGTATATTGGCAACTTCAAAGGTGAGTTCTCTTTTTTCATTATTGTGGTACAATATGCAAACTGTTAAATATGCCATTTTAACCTTTGTTCAGTGGCAATTCAGCAGCATTAAGTACATTCTTGCTGTTGTGCAGCCATCGCTACTACCCATCCCCAGAACGCTTTCATTTCCAGCTGAGTCTCTACTCCCACTAGACACTACTTCCTGTCCTGCACCCCAGCCCTTGGAAACCACCTTCCTGCTTTTTGTCTCTGAGTCTGACTGCTCCAGGGACCTCATGTGAGCAGGCTCATGTGGCGTTAGCCCTTTTGGGACTGGTTTATTTCATGGAGCTTGATGTCGTTCTTTCGTTGTTGTAGCTTGTGTCGTAATTTCCTTCCTTTTAAAGACTGAAGAATATTGTGTGGATGAGCCACATTGTGTTTACCCATTATCTGTGGGTGGACACGGGTGTCTTTTGCCAATGGTGAGCTTGCTTTTTTAAAGCTTAGCTTTAGGCTCTCATACGTGGAGTCGAGGTGTGGACTCAGTTTCTGCAGTCTGGTCAGGACACGACCACCACCGGTAGCCTTATCCTTGTACCCCGACGCCTTGGCCACTGGCTCGAAGAGTGGTGTAGAGCCCTGCAGAGTCCACCTTGACCTCTGACCTTCATTTAACTGTACACACATGTTGGAGTTTTATTATCAAAAGAGGATGGCTAAAAGGCACATTTAGCAGTCATATAACTTGTTTATCATCTTTATCACTTTTATTTTCTAGTTAGTAATAAATTTTCAGAGACCTATTTTTTTAGTCACCTGGGGAAAATAAGTGGCAGTTTCATCTCTAGCCAATTATTCTTATCACACATTTCTCTGCAACTTCTTTGATATTTACTGATATGCTATTAGCTATTGACTTTTCATTTTTAGCTTATTTGTCTCAAAATGCTCTGTAGTTGCAAAGGTGAGTAGAAAGCCACAGAGCAAAGTGCGCAGGGAGGGGAGGGGAGAGTGGCTGGCCCCAGCCCGTGTGTGGGGGAGGGCAGGCGCGCTCTCGTGGACTGGCCTGACGCAGGCAGAAACCAGCCTGTTCTGCTGGTGGAGAGTCCCTCCTCACCACGCCTCCCTTCCTGGACACACGCGCTGGAACACACTCCAGTCTGTTTTCTGGTTGTGTAAATCTGCGAGTTCAGGCTCACATTGACTCTTAGAACAATCTCTGACTTCTCTGCGCTGAAGTTCACGTCCTCTTCCCCGCTGGGCTCGGAGGGCAGCTAATTGGCCTTAAAGGGAATAATGAGCACGCTGGACTGACAGCCGCGCATCGCTGCTAAAAGGTGTTAAAAATAGTCCTGGAGTTCCTGAATTAGTAAGCTCTTTTGTTCTGAGAAAGCAGCGAGTGCTTTGTGGCAGGCAGGCAAGTTGGGCTGGAATGCACGAACATCTTTATGGTTGTTTAATGAGTTATTATTAATGGTTTTGTGGGGAGAGGGGAATGTCTTTGAGTTTGGAAACAATATGGAATTTAGGATAAGTTCTTGGATGTAGAATTGCTGGGTGAATAGTTTCACAAATCAAAAAACTGTAATAAAAACCAACCAAACCAACCAGTACTTCTGCCAACAGTTCCAGCACACTTGGAGATGGCAGACCTTGGTTTGAGCAGCAGAGGACTGAGTTCTCCTAAGACTCCCTGCTCAGGGATAGCGTGTGCACGTGCTTGTGAGTGAGCTGAAGACCCCAAGGCCGGTTCCAGCTGCGTGCATGCTCCTACCGTGGTGCCAGTAGCTGTAGACAGCCATCCACCAGTCACTTGTGGTCCTGAAGAATAAATGCCGTCATCAATAGTGCACTTAAACGTGTGGACAGAGCACATTCTCTTGGGAAGAGTGATCCCAAGGTGTGTGTGTGTGGATGGCGCTGCCGCAGAATAGAAAGGCCTGGACTGGACTGGGACTGTGAGGAGCAGAAGGAGCAGAGGCGTTGCCAGGAGTCACTTCTGTGCTCTTAAGGGCCAAGCAGTCGGTTTTTCTGATTTGTGGTACCAAGTGTGGTTATATTCAAAACAAAGTAATTTTGACTTCAAACCACCTTTTTTCTTGTTGTTTACCTTAATCTATGTTACAAATGTATATTAATGGGGTGATGAAAATATTCTAAATTTAGGTTGTGGTGATGGTTGGACAATTCTGAATATACTTAAAACCATTGAATTGTGTACTTTAAAAGGGTGAATTATCTCAGTAACACTTTTTTTTCCACTTTATTTTTTTAATAGAAGGATAATTGCTTTACAGAATTTTGTTGTTTTTGGTCATACATCAACAAGAATCAGTCCCCTGATTCTTGGTGTCCCCTCCCTCCTGGACCTCCCTTCCGTCTTCCTCTCCATCCCACCCCTCTAGGTTGTCACAGAGCCCCTGTTCGGGTTTCCTGAGCCATACAGCAGATTCCCGTTGGCTGTCTATTTTACATAAGGTTGTGTAAGTTTCTACCTTACTCTCTCCATACATCTCTCCCTCTCCGCCCCCCGCCCCCCGTGTCTTTAGGTCTGTTCTCTATGTCTGTTAATCCACTGCTGTTCTATCTCAGTAATGCTGTTTTTTAAAAAAAAGGAAAAACGTATATTTAAACAATTTAATTTAAACAGTATATTTAAACAATTATTATGGACATGAGTTTGAGCAAACTCAGGGAGATGGTGATGGACAGAGAAGCCTGGTGTGCTGCAGTTCATTGGGTCACAGAGAGTCGGACCCAACTTAGCAACTGAACAACAATAGCAAAACAATTATTGATTTTCCAACTGCATTTCTGGGTGGAGTCAGAATCTGGAAGATCCTGGCCCACAGTGTCCCCCCAACTGTGCAAACCCTCCCCACACCCCTCCCAGCCCAGTGGCTCTGAACGCCTCTCCTGCTGGCTCCTCACCTCCCTCGTCTGGGAGCCTAATGCTCCAGCTTGACTGTTTCACTACTTGTCTAAAATATACAGCCTAGTGGGGATTGGAAAATCACATTTGAGTTAAAACGTGGGGGATGCCTGTCTGTGGACCCTAATAAGTCCAGTTCCTGCCAAGTTCAAAGCTCACCTAGATCACAACTTGGAGTAGTTGGGGGCTGGGTGATTGGATGAGTCCCCATGTAATGGACTGAGAGGCTGTTTGAGGTGGTTGGAGCAATTAAGAGAATCAAAATAAAGCCAATGTTTTTCTATTACTTTTAAAGATTATTTTCCTGACTTTAAAAGTGGTATATGCTTATTGCAGAATGTTTTAGAACGGTGCTTCTTTGTTTCTACTTTTATTCACTAAAGCTTATTTGGAATGTGGCCCTGCCATAGACCTTGAACTAAATTGGAGCCCAGGAATCTGCCTTTTAAAAAAAATCTGGGTAGTTCTTAGGCATGTTGAACTTTTACAGCCATCTGTATTGAATACACACACACACACGCACACACACACACAAACGATAAAGAAAAAACTTAACACGTAATTCTGTCTCTTCACGATGATCACTCTCTACGCTGATTCCTTATAGCAGTTGTCCCCACTGTGTTTGTTGTCTTTATGTGTTTTTACAAGTTGAGTTCATATCGTATTTATAGTTTGGTGCCTTCTCCCCCTTTCCCCTGTTTAATCCTGTATCCCAAGCATTTTCTCATGGCGCTAATATTCTCCAGAAACAGAATGATCAGACATTCGGTTTTCAATCATCTTACCCTGTATCACTTTAGAAAACTTGTCCCAGGGGAATGGACCTCCTTGTTTTCTGCTGCACCCTGTTCTGTAGATTAGCAGAAGTTCCAGCTTGAGGGGATTTGGGTGACTTTCTTCTCTGGGTGGGTTCATAGGAAGGGAATATAATTTGGTATCTCCTTAGTTTCATATGCAGATAATTTAATAGCCACGTGACTTATGAACTACTTTGTTTGGACTTTCCAGAAAGTATCCATTTTTAGTTTAGCGTAAGTGGATGCAGTTGTTGTAAACCACATCATACCTGCATCTGGTCCCATTCCCTGCTGTTTTGACATCAGGGTCGATTAGTCTCTGGCAGGTTCATGTATCTTAGACAGAAGATTGTTTTGTATTTAATTTTAACTTAGATTACTAATCATTAAGAGGTAATTAAAAATATTTGAAATATCATTCTTTTTCCACGTTTCATGTGAAAATCTAACCTGAGGGTCTGCAACTTAAGCATTAGCTACAACATGACTTAGTGGTTCATTTCCTTTAAACAGCAATAATCATCATTATAATATTTATCAAACTACATACTTTTCAGGTTTTATATGACCACTTTGTATCAAAAGACGTGTCAGTCAGAAATAAACTGTTATCTGCAGAATACCTAAAAGCAATAACTCTAGATTCCCTTTGTTGTTCAGTTGCTAAGTTGTATCCCGCTTTTGCAACCCCATGGACTGCAGCATGCCAGGCTTCCCTGTCCTTCATTATCACCAGGAATTTGCTCAAACTTATATCCATTGAGACAGTGATGCCATCCAGCCATCTCTGTTGTCCCCTTCCCCTCCTGCCCTCAATCTTTCCCAGTATCAGGGTCTTTTCCATTAAGTTGGCTCTTCATGTTAGGTGGCCAAAGTATTGGAGCTTCAGCTTCAGCATCAGTCCTTCCAGTGAATATTCAGGGTTGGTTTCCTTTAGGATTGATTGAGTTGCTCTCCTTGTAGTCCAAGGGACTCTCAAGAGTCTTCTCAAGCACCACAATTCAGTTACGAATTTTTAAGAAAGAAATATGCAAGTAATTTTGTGCTTTTTCCTTAAGGAGTAATTCACTTGCAAAAAATACTAAAAAGTCCCCCTTTTCTGTGACAGATGCCAGAGATGCAGAGCAATTGAGCAAGAACAAGGTGACGCACATTCTATCTGTGCACGACAGCGCCAGGCCGATGCTGGAGGTGAGGGTGCTGATCTGTGCGCCCGTCTGTGCTGTGCTCCTGGGGGCAGGCGGTGGGGGGGGGGGGTGTCAGGCAGCGTGTGCTCTGCAGCAGCTCCTATCCTGGCTGCGCGGAGCCTGTGCTTGGCCATGCCTGTGCCTGGCCCTCTGGTTGGGCTGGGCCGGCAGGGGGGCCCTTGTTCTCACCATCCTCTTGTTGTTGACTTTCTTGGCTGAATGCCAAAGAACAAACACTTCTGTTTCCCTTTAGATTTTAAGGACATTTAAAACCCATTTTTATTCCTTTCAAAATTACCCCCCTGTTTTAGAATCCCAAAGAATTCAGGCTGCTCCTTTCCTGACTTTTTTCCATTTGAGCTCAATTATCTATCATTTGCATTTCAGGAGACAAGGCCTCTGAGGATAAATTGTCCCTAGAGATTTTCTAGTGCTTCTCTCTGCAGACGGTCAGTGAAGAAGCTATTGTTGTGTTTCAGGTTTTAAAGTAAATAGGATGTGTCTGCCTGTACAGTGATTCCAAAAACATCTTCAATTTTACCCTAATGGATGGTTTGAGCTGTTGGCTGGGAGCACAGTCTCTCTCTATTAGCCTTGGCAGAGCCCAAGCTACCTCTTTTCAGAAAATAGTGTGAATATGGTTGTGAAATGTGTGTGTGTGTTTCTATTTCAGGGTGGGGTATTGGAAAGGGAGGTGTGGCTCATTCTGAAAGAATCCTCATTCAAGCAGTTTTCACTTAAATTCATATTACACAAGAGTAGGTAATATATTCTTATTTCAAAGTTATCAGTTTTACTTGGCCATTAGAGCTGCTGTATTTCAGTCAGTGTCCAAAAAGATGAGAACTTAGAATAATAAGCAATTCAACTGGCATCACCATAAGAGGACCACAGGAGGTGAACAGACTTGAACTCCTTTCTCCAGATCTGAGCTCACAATTCCCTCTGTTTTATCTCATGGTTTTTGTTAAGGTGCTATCATCTGTGCTGCAGTGTGGCTTTATTGGAAACAACAACAAAGCATCGTTTTTTTGGAGGCTGACATCTCCTTTGAAGATAGTTACTCCATTTTCCATGTATCAACAGTAGTTTGTTAAAACACACGGCCAAGTTTGTTAAAACACATGGCCTAGGTGACAAGTTAAATGTAATCTGGTCATGATTGACTTCCTCTTCAATCATAAGATGAGACTTGAGGTTTCCTTCATTTTAATAAACTGCATCGATGTCCTGCCCACCCTCACCCTCCAGGCTGCCTCACGGCATTGTACCCCGCTGCCCACAGCACACCGTCACGTAGGAAGGCAGCTGGGAGTCTGTGCCACCGCCACTTCTGCCCAGAGAGCTGGCCTTCAAGTCTAGGAGGAAAGAGCCCCGCCCTCGCCTTTCCCACCTCCCCACTTTACATGCAGGAGCAAGGGCTGGAGGGCTGGCAAGTGGAGCGATTGCAACCTGGTATAAACAGAACACTGTTGATGTAAAAGTCTCAGTGTTCTGGGCAAACTGTGTTCCCTCACCAGCTGTGACTGCGTATCCTCTTTATTCCCTGTGAGAAATAAGGGACCCTGTGCTTTTTCCCCACGAGACTGCCTCTTTCATTTGGAGATGTCCTGTTTCAGGCTTTGGGTGCTGTTATTATCTCACTCAATAAGTACTTTCCTGTGATTTCATGTTTATTTCAAGTTAGACCTCTGTTTTATAGCATAACATAGTTTATCGCTGTCCTTATTTTATTCATTTTTAACTTCACAAGTGATTCATGAGTATGTTCTTATTTTAAACATTAAAGCAATAGATTCTCTGATTGCACAACTGGGGAAAACAGAGGCATTAAAGTGATGCGAGTGGGCATGCTCGCCTTCAGGGAAGGGACAGAGGGAGTCCGCCGGGGTCCTGGGAGTTCCAGACCTTCGCTGAGCCCTCTGCCTGATGCATAAATGTAGTCATCTCTCTTAAATTTCAAACTCAGTTCCAGAAGCCATAATCTCACCAGGCTGAGATGAGTCTGGGAAGTTATCTCCGTGTTGTGCTGGTCCTGACCCTGGGGAAGGGACCAGGGGAGCAGGACCTGGATGGGGTGAGAGGGAAGAGCATGTGCAGCACTGAGAGCCAGCCTGGCGAGGGTAAGGGGGCATAGAGCACAGGAGACGACAGAGCCGCCACCTCCTTTCCTTTCTGGGGTCTTCAAAGCCAAGAGGGTTTATGGAATGCACCCCAGCTTTCTCTGGGCAGACCCGGGGTGGGGCAGGCTAGACGTGGGGAGGCAGTTACTGTCTAAAATTGAGAGGTTTTGGTCCTGTCACATCCGAGTGGAAGTCCTAGGGATCTAGAGACTCTGCCTGGGGGAGTGCCAAGTCATGCCTCCTGGCAGTGCCCTGCCTGCCAGGGACCACCTGCTCATCACCAGCGCCCGGGAGCCCAGTCCGCACGATGGCAGCATCCTGGCTGCTGTGGTGTAACCGGACCCGGGGCCTCGCACGTCACCTCTAGCAAGTGGCAGAGCTGGGGAGGGACCATTGCCTCGTGGCTTTATTTCAAATAGGAGTTAAGCCCAAACCGTAATTATAACATTGAAGGAGGAACATCCCTTCCTCTGATTCCACATTGAGGGCCGGGCAGGGGAGCTGCTTCTGCTGAAAACGTTTCCTTTTTTGTGAGCTGGGTCTTCATCGCCTACTGGTTGCTCCAGATTTGAGGGGGTGGTGAAAACTGCTGTCACAAAGACGGTGCTTTTTCAGAAAATCAGAAAGCTCATATTGTTTGTAGGTGCTGAGGAAGTAATATTGAGCAATGAAAGGTTTCTCCCTTCCCCTGAGAAAAAAACCAGAGGTCTGTCTTTCTAATGTAAGAATTTCAGAGTTTGTTTCATTTTTCATGTTGGTATTTAACCAGAGCACCTGCAGGAAACAACTATTTTTCACTATTAACAAAAATACTTTTAAAGTATTTTCATTCCTTCACTGGGCTAATGACACAAAAGAATTTAATTTTAAAGTGATTTCTATTTTCAGATTAAATAGAAAAAAATAGTTTGCATACATATATTCACAACAGGGCATTGTGTGCACGCCAGATAGGTATTTTGAGCTTGAGTTCAGCTTGGATATTCTTCCCATTTTGAGTTGTGGCTTATATTTTAAACCATTTATGCATTTGTTTTTGTTTTAAGAATAGGATGTTTTCACAGGCCAGCATTTATTCCTGGTGATTCTGTTTTATATTTCCTTTAACATGAAAGACATTTTTTTGAGGTGTCCAGGCTCAGAATTTAACGTAGTTGGTTCTGTTTGCAGCTGACCACTTCTGCTGGCTCTGATCCTTCCTGTGTCTGTGTGTCTGCACACACAGGTATGTGTCTCCCAGAGACACCCAGTCTGTGTGGACAGTGGTCCTGAGTGCTGAGGGGCTCCTGGGATGGCCTGGCCCCCTGCCACGTGTCCGTCTCGTGGCCCACTCTGCCTTTCACCCTCAGAATCTTTGCTGCCTTCCCAAATGTAAATAAGCCCCATCCAAGGTATGCAGTAGCATTTGAAGTTTAAGAGACTTTCTTCTGTGTCCACGTCTCTCTCTCTCCCTCCTCTTGCCCCCTGCCCCAAATCCTCCTGTCCCTGAGAGCTGGGCCCAGCTCTTGGTCTGAGAAGGACACGCCAGTGCCCGCCAGCCTCAGGCCTGCTGCCCTTTCCCTGTAATATCTGTGGGCATCAAATGACTAAGATCTGCCCTCCTGAGCTGGTCCGAGGCCGCTGCGGGCAGTGGGTTTCTTGGTCTCCCCAGCATGCAGCCCGGCTCTGGCTCTGCATGTGCTTCTGATGGTGTCTGCACCGCATGCTTTTCAGCTTCACCGTGAGGTGAGAAGCCATGTCTCTGGGGGTCTGTGACTGACTTCAGGGTATGGAAGAAGAATGGTCTTACTGGCCATAGCGCTCTGTGAGGTCAGAGGTCAGGTGGTGCAGGGCCACCTCCCCGGGCACCTGCACTGTCAGGAACCCCATGTGCAGATGCCCAGCACGCACAGTTGGTGTGGCCTGCAGGCCAGAAGAGCCTGTTGCTAAGTTCCCGCCACCGAGTGACGCTCCTGCAACTCTGACTGGTCTCAGTGGTCTTTCGGCTGCCTTTGGTCTGCATTCGAAGCCTGGTCCTACAAGGACAGGAGAGTCTAAGATACGAACAGGGGGTGATTAATTAAAAGAAGACTTCCCACAGCCACAGCAGGTGAAGTGGGGACAGAGTTCGCTGGGACCTCATCTCAGGCCTGCTTGGAGGCAGAACATGGGAAGCTGAGAGGACTTCCCAGGCTCCAGGCCTGCGTTCTGATTCACAGGGAGACCTGTGCCCCCTTGTCTTCCTCAGAGGTTTCCTAGGCAGATCCAGCTCTGCCCTCCTCCCAAGCTGGTGACCTTGTCAGCTTGGGTCTTAGGACCCTGAGACCCCTCCTGTCCACGGCCTTCAAGTCACGGGAATTGTTGCCACGAGGGAGAGCCTGCTGGACACCACACACCGCGTCCCGGCACGGGGTGTGGGCAGGAGGCTCCCTGCAGGCCTGCTTGTAATCAGGGAACTGGGGCCGACCCGCACACCCAGCAGAAAGGCCCTGGTCAGCGGTGATGCCTCTGTAGAAAAGAAATACTCTGCAGCCACCGAAAAAGAAGAGGGGGGCTTACACGTATGCACAGGAAACAGTTAACTGCTAAGCAAAAGAAGCAAGTTGTAGAATAATATCCACACTATGATCCCATTTATGTAAATTATACATTAATAATGTACTCCTGTATGTAAAAATATGGGGCTTCCCAGGTGGCACTAATGGTTAAGAACCCGGCTACCAGTGCAGGAGACTTGGGTTCAATCCCTGGGTCGGGAAGATCCCCTAGAGAAAGGTATGGCAACCCTCTTCAGTATTCTTGCCTGGAGAATCCCATGGACAGAGGAGCCTGGCGGGCTACAGTCCCTAGGGTCACAAAGAGTTGGACACGACATGTACATATATGTGTGTAAAGGCACAGA